CAACGGTTCCTATCATCTCCCACCCCTGAGCCGTCCCCTATATAAACCACCACCAATCCCCAATGATATTTCATCCATTTTCAATTCACAAAGCTTCCGTTCTCAACTTCACCTTCAACAACACACCAAAAGCCGAAGAAAATGTCTGGCCGCGGCAAGGGAGGCAAGGGCTTGGGAAAGGGCGGAGCCAAGCGCCACAGGAAGGTGCTGAGGGATAACATCCAGGGCATCACGAAGCCTGCAATCCGCCGTCTGGCTCGAAGGGGCGGAGTCAAGCGTATCAGTGGGCTTATCTACGAGGAGACTCGCGGCGTGCTGAAGATCTTCCTGGAGAACGTCATCCGTGATGCGGTCACCTACACCGAGCATGCTCGCCGGAAAACTGTGACGGCCATGGATGTTGTCTATGCTCTCAAGAGGCAGGGCCGCACTCTGTACGGATTTGGGGGTTGAGTTTTTCTAGGGTTTTTGTTGGGGTTTCTGTAAATCGCAGTTTCATGTTTCTGTAGTTTGGTTCGGTGGTTCGGGTTTAGAATCTGGTATCTCGTTTGATCTTGCAAAGATCCTGCTTTTGTTTGTTTGAATTGGAATGAAGGATTTGGAATTATCTTTTGGTTAATCTGTCCCATTTTGTTCTTCTGTTTTCTGTGCTATTCAATGTGGATTACAGTTTATATGGTGTTGTTTGGTTTTAATCAGTTCATTGAGCTTTCTGTTTTCGAAGTATGCAATGTGTAGTAGTGAAATCTGTGATTGTGGTTGAATTATAGTTCCATTTTATTGTGCATTGTTTAGGAGATGCAGTTTGTTTTGATTTTTTTGTTTTCAATCCAACTTAAAAGAAGTTTAACTGAGTAACTTTGTGAGTGTTTCAATCTGTGCTCAACTCTTCTTGACAGTGTTAACCTAAAGTATATGTTATTATAAATCTGTACTCACTCATCATCTTTCTTTAATCCTCATTGCTAAGTTGTTTTAACTCAACTGAGCCAAGATTGTTAGGGCGTCACTCGACTCGGATTTGGATTTCATCGCTAAGTTGTTTTAACTCAACTGAGCCAAGATTGTTAGGGCTTCACTAGACTCGGATTCGGATTTCATCAGCTTGAGACCGTCTCAGTAACTAAAACAGAAGAGAGAAATCCTATTGGAAATATGTACATTGTTGCTTGCATTATATTCCCCATCCTACAATTTCCTTTACACAAACCTCTATTTGATCCATTTCTTTCCTCAAACAACTAATGCAAAATACTACACCTTTCAAATATATGTCCATTCTTTCTCCAACTACCTCATTATCACTATCTTCATAATCTTCCTCTATGGCAATTCTAATCTCTTCTTCACTAATCAAGCCAGTATTTTGTACCACCTCACCATCCATCTCTTCACAATCCACTTCTTCCGAACGTTTGCTCGGCGACAGCATCTCCAGCAAAGAATCTACAGTTCCCAACAATACTCCCATCTCATAATCCAACTGCTGCTCCATATCCCCTCTCAAACTCACCTTTAACCCCGAAAGCATTTCCAAATTACGCGTTGCAACAAACAATATATTCGCCATGTTCGATAATGACACGACAACCCTTTTATAGCAAGAACCATGAAATGGCAAGTACCAAAAATCAGGCTCTGATTCTGCATCTTGAACAAGACACTTCAAAACCCTCTGCTTCTCTCTAAATTCCTTGAATTTCGAGTTCACCCCGTTTTTCCCCCCATCATAACAAAACCCCATCTCCCTCAACAGCTCCTGAAAAGAGACCAAAGTTAGTAATAGATGCCTTCTTGCAAGTGTGGCTGCTCTGACTGGCTGTATAGCCAGCTCAACAAGAACCAAACAGAAAAGCCCAATAAAAACCGACGTGAGCCGATCGATCGCGAATTCATTTGGAGGCCCGTAGCCCTTCCGGCCCAATATAAACAATGCAGCTACAGCTGCAGAGACTCCACCTGCAGGCCCGTACATTTTGCTGTGTTTCAAGAAGCCCGTGAAAACAATCCAAGGGAGAAATGCCAAGAGCCGTATTTCGGGCTGGTGAAAAATAAAGCAGCACACCAGCCCATATACAGACCCAATAGCAGTCCCTTGGCCTCTGGCATTCGCGGCTGTGAAGACCGCGGGCCGGCCCGCGGTGAAGCTGGTGGCCACCATGAGGCCCGCCCAACACGCGTTCTCCTTCTCTAGGATAACACCTAGTAGGACTGAGAGGCCTAGGGCTACCGAGTATTTGATTGCGGGCTCGAGTTTTTGGGCCCGGGATTTGGGCTTTCGGGCTCTGGGGTGTTCTGTTTTCTGCAGCCCGTTTGTTTCAGTGGCGTTATCTGGGATTTCGAGCAATGTGTCTATGCAGGAGAAGAAGAAACAGGAGGGCTCGTGGTTTGGTGTAGGGAAAGTCGGCACGTGTTTTAAAGATAGATTTCGTGTGGACTCGTCTGTTGTTGTTTGTTGTGATTCTTTTGAAGCTCGAAAAGGCAGGATTTTTTGGAATTTGTTGTGAAGCTGAGCAGAAAGGTCTTGTGAGAGAGTAGAGAGGTTTTGTTGATCTAATAATAGTTGAACAGAAAGTGAGGAGGAACTTATTAGAGTATGCTCCATTGCTCTGATTGGTAGCTCAATGCTTTGTAATCTTTGCTCGATATTTAACGAATCGTGTTTGGAGTGTAGTAGTTTCCAAGGCTTCTCCCAAACCATCCCTTCCTGAAAAAAAAAATAAACGGATATTCGATTGTATGAATAACGAACACTGGTGAAGAAAATGCACGAATTTTTTTTGCAGTAACTTTACCTCTAAGATTTTTATGCTCTGCAGAAGCTTTGTTCCGATTTCAGCTAACGGCTTCCCTCGTAAAACGAGCTCTATCTTGGTCTCTCGATCCTCGGAATTCAGAGCTCTAAGGTATATATCCATTCTCTCGGACACATTTTGCTCGTATACTTTGCATAGTTTTTTCACCTGTTTTCGCATCAAACTCACAACATTAGCAAAAAAAAAAAAAAACTCAAGGACTCGAAAAAATTTCTACTACTTTCTAATTTCGTACAATGTAAGCAAGCTACCTTGAAATGCGCGAAGCCCGGTAAGGGCAGCAACAAAGCCAATAAAGACGAAAATGCCCCTAGACCGGCACTTGCCGCTATATGCAAAGGGTTCATAAACCCATAACGCGTATCGTGTGTACCAACAACAAGCTCCGTGCAAACTAGCGTGATTTGAGCTAAAGCAATCCTCTTGGCCGTGACGTGGGTCGAACGAGGTAGAACCACCAAGAATGCCGCCACCGCCGCCACAACTGCCGCCACGCCAAGCGGCGGAGCCACTGCCGCCGGAGCGGCCAGCCACTGGCCGAGGGCGGCGATCGGGACTACTTGGATTGTGGCGAAAAGAATGTGCCAGAATCCACGGACCGAGTGGCCGAGTGTGGAGGCACTGTTGGAAAGTGTTAGAATGACCATGAGGTAAGATAAGGGGAGGAATTTGATTTGGGCCATGAGGCGCGTGGGCCCGTATAAGGCGGTCAAGCCCACTATGGCGCAGGCTAGGGCGCCCCGAGAGGCAGAGTCGAACCGGGCTCGACATATGGTTCGGGCTTGGTCCTTAGCTGTGGTTTTTAACATTTTTCTTGAGTGGTGAAAAAAATGAAAAATAATACTATGAGAGAAGGCTTTTCACAGCAAAGCAAGAGATGAAAGACAATGCATGAAAAACACACACATATATATGGGGATTTGCTAGCTTTATTGTAAGAGTCTAATACGTAATAGGGTGTGTGCTCTATAAAGAATATTTAATAATGTTGCATGTGAATAGTTACATATAAAAGAATTTGTCACGAGCGGTAAAATATAAGGAGATTTGCTAGCTTTTTATAAGAGCGAGCCAATAGTTGCGTGCAATTGAGAATATTTGATAATGTTACATGTGAATAGTTGCAAAGAAAAAAAAAAAATTAAGGTGTACTCCGGTTTTGCTATTAAGTTAATAGTTGACTCCAAGCCATTTTTCTATAGACAACAAATAAACCTATCATATTAATAAAATTATATTAATGTTGTTTAAATAATAAAAGAATATGGTAGGTTTACTTGTTGTATATAGAAGGTTGACTCCACTATAAAGCCAACTGTTGGCTTCATAGCAAAATCGTGTACCCGTTTTACAGTTTGATCTGCCATACTTGATTAATAAAAATAAATGCTTATAATATGAACACAAATTTTGGTGCAAGGTAGTTTAATCACTAGATAGGTCGACCCGTCGTACTTTTCGAATAAAAATGCTACTTACGAGGGGCGAACACAAATTCTAATGTGAACAGTTTAATCACTAGACAAATTCGACCAGCCATACATTTTGAACAAAAATGTATAATTATATTATTAAATGTCATAGTTATATATACATGTTATTAGGACATTATATTATATTATATTATATGTGGAAAAAAGTATGAGTGGCAATCTATTAGGCTCGATGAGAAAAGTCTAATGAATATAATATGGATTTTCTGTACTATGGTTAAATATGCATTGCCAGCACTAAAGCAAATTACTGTTAATAGGTATTTTATATTACAACACTGTAACTTGAACCAACCTAATTCCCACTCCCACATATATAAAAATAAAAGTTGATCTATTAATTTGATTCACTAATACAGTAATACTTTCTGTAATCGGCGATGATATTCCAAAAACTGTGGAGGCAATTGGATGTAGAGCTTTTAACAACAAATAAGATTAATTTTGTTTGGATTGTGAACTGATATAAAAATAATATAGTGGATGAAATTTTATATTTGGTAATACTAAGTTGGTTCTACAGGCCCTTCAGACGAACTACATTGAAACGATCCAATGAAACGGCTCGAATCGCCGACTTGTGGAGAGAGTCACGACGACCTAATGATCACAACAAACAAATTTATAGGGGATAAGAAGGAATCTTATATATATAAGAAGGAATCTAATGATGACCAGGGCGCCATTAGGATGGGGATGAACATTGAGCAGATAACATCAACTCCGAGTAGCCGGACAGACTGACCTCGGAAAACTTGGGTTGTTGAACAGACTGGCCACAGGCAATTCGGGCAACAGGTATCCCTTATAGAAGGGGATGAGGTGCACTTGAAATACTCTACATTCTCTTTACAGACTCTTTACAATTCTCTACTTATAGATCTTATCATCATATCCTCTTCTCCTATACTAACTTGAGCGTTTAAGTGCTAACGCTGAGAGACTCTTCTGACCCCTTTTTGCAGATCATCTTCAACGATTCAGGAAAATTAGAGCTTTCAACCAGCCGATTCAATGTAAAACCAAGTCGCCAGCTCATCATTTGACGTCATCTATGAGGACTAAGAAACTAAGAGCTCTCTACCCAGTTCCCGATGACCTGACATGGCTGAAATAGAAGGGATACAATTGAACCTAAACAAGGAGCTTTGGGAGGCTTGCACTGACAGACGCCCTCATTTGGCACCCAATCCGAAGCCACACATCTCTGTGTTGGGATTGCCATCGTTGAGTAGCCACGCACCCCGTTTGGTCTCTGCACGAAGGAGCTATCAACGCCTATAGAAGGAAAAAAACCAATTGTTACCAGCTGGAACTACTAGAGCTGCGCTGGTGTCTCCCACTGGCAAAGGACAGAGGAATCAGGAATGCAGATAGTAAAGGCAAACAGGTTCGTGAAGGACATGGAATTGGGGTGGAGATGGCCTCCACCCAAACTGAGACAATCCAATGAACCTGGAGGCCATGGATTAGCCTGAAGCACTAGGATGACCTACGGGCCCTTTGAACGACCTAAAGTGTGACGATCCAATGAACCTACCCGACTTGACGACTTGTGGAGATAGTCACGATGACCTGATGATCACAATAACCAGATTTACAGGGTATCTTATGGAGATAAGAAAGAATTTAATGACGACTAGGACATGATTATGATGAAGATGAACAGTACTAAGCAGATAAGATCAACACCCAGGCAGCCGCAGGCTGACCACGGGCAACTCGGGCAAACTGACCAAGGCAACTCGGGTAATTCAAGCAGCGAGTATCCACTATAAAAGGGGTTGAGGTACACCTGAAATTCTCTATATTCTTTTAACGCACTCTTTAGAATTCTCTACTTACATAGCTTATCATCTTCCTTTTTCCTTATATTGACTTCAGCGTCGAAGTGCTAACGCTGAGAAACACTCATGGTCCCTTTTTGCAGGCCATCTTGAATGGTTCATGTCGATCGGAGCTTTCAACAAGCCGGTTCAACCTAGAACCGAGTTGTCAGGTGGTCATGTCATTTATATGTCTAATGGCATCACAATTATGCACGAGTCAGTTGTCTAACAGAATGGAATGTGACTTTGAAATAAAAATATTTTCGTGTCTCCAAGAAAGTTCATCAATTTGGGCACATCAAACTTAATACATTAATATGTTAAAAATATGGGGAAAAAAAGATATACTTATTATGAACGGGAGGAATATAATTGGGAAAAAAAATCTTTTCACCCCAATACAAAGATACATTAAATTTTTCATACCGCCCATTAACAATTTAACTTTTTCATCCCGGAAAGTGCGAATGTTATGCAAATAGACTACATGACTGTCGCATATCAGTTGCATAACTGTCGCATATTCATCGCACAATGTCTTTGCAGTTTAACATTTTTCACCCCAGAAAGTGCGAAGGGATATGCGAATGTCTCGACACTTTTAACTTTTGCACAATGTCATCGCGCAACTATCGCATGTTCATCGCACAATGTCTTTCGCACTTTCTGGAGTGAAAAAGTTAACTTATATGCGAGCGTTGTGAAAAAGTTAATACATTTCTATAGTGGGATGAGAAGATTATTTTCACAATAAAATTTATGACATTTTGTCCAACTTTATTCAGTTGTTGTCCGCTTTTTGTTTCGGTCGGACTATCCACTTTTATATTCTTCTCGTCGAGACAGTCGCGTCCACATATTTTTCGATGCTGTCTCGACCACATAATTTTTTGATTAATTTTCTATTCAAAGTAGCTTTGATTATTCTCTTGTCGGTCTAATTCCGACGTTGTTCAACATCCATTTCTGCTGATTGACCCGTTGTAGTATTGTTTTATCAAGATTGTTGTACGGCAAAAGTTTTAAGTCAACTGAAGCTTGTTTGCCCACTTACATTTTCGTGTGAAATAATTTGGGCCTAAAATTCAATGTTCTTATGTTTGAGGACATTCATAATCATGGTGATTTTGGAAAATTGAATTCTTAATACGCGTGATAATAAGAGTGTTCCATTTTCTATGATAGTCTGTGTCACGTAATTATATACATTGACGTTTGATAAAATTTTTTGCGTCTGCATGCAAATTATTATACTCCCTCCATTTTAAATTATAGTATGTCGTTTTGACTTTTTTATTCATCCATTTTGTTATGCATCTAGATAATAATAATGTCTAGATACATAACAAAATGGATGAATCAAAAAAGTCAAAACGACATATAATTTAAAATGGAGGTAGTACTTGAGATTAGAGAAAATTATTCGATAAATCATAAAATGCAATCATATTGTAACCACTAGCTAGTATATATGACCACGGCATTGACCATGGTCCACAGCCGTGACCGGTGTGTGGTTTTATCCAGATCGATTCCGGTTCAAGCATTTTTGAATCGAGAATTCGGTTTTTATTTTTTATTATTGTTAATTTTTTATTAAAATAAACCAAACCGGCCCGGCCCGGAACCACAATTCATGAACAGACTGGGAACCGCTGGTTCATTGAATTGACCCGTTTATGTTCCATTGCCGTTTCAGGTCCTCCCAATGCGGCCGAAAAAGGCGATTTCGACCGAGAACTGGGATTTGACAATGTCTAACCATCATACAGAGTGAAAATTATATATTATAAAAACAATATTTAGGAAATTTCCTAATGTAGTAGCTTCAAAATATATTTTCAATTTTATACTTTTATTAATTTATAAATAATTACCTTTGAGTGATTAATTTATAACCATATTCGTTAATTTATCTCTTTCAAAGAAAATTGTAGATTAATTATAAATAAACTATTGATTGTAAATTTTTTATATCATATCACTATGAATAAAAATAAAAATAGATTAGAAAGAAATAAGATAATTTAGTAAAAAAATTAAATCTTTTAATCAATAAATGTAGATCTATTACTGATATAATATTATCTAAAATAAAATAAAAGTCCCACAACGGAAGAAAACAATTACCTAAATAAAATTAATAAAAATGTAAAAAAAATTATTTTAAAAATTTATTTGTTTAGTAACAAACTATATTTTGGTGGTATAATACACCTTTATTCAGTAAATGTCAAACATTTTCATCATATAGATTTGAAGATAAAAAGTTCATAATATTTTTATTAACAGTACTTTTTCACTTTTCTTTTTAGAGCATTAGAACATTATTATAATTTTTTCACGGCCTTTTAATGGATTCACTTAAATCTATTCGTACAAATTATGGTTATTTTATCTTTTTAATGTTGAATAAAATGTGAGCATCGTTGTATCATCTATCGTATTCATCATCAGTCATTAAAAGAGAAAAAAAAAAAAAAAAGTTTTTGCCTTTTTTAATATGTTAATTAATCCTCCTAAGTTTTCTTAATCTTGACCAAGATCAAGCATGATTTCTAATTTTCTATTGATTTTTAAAGGTGTCTATGCGTGTGACATGGTCGTGAGGATATGCTAAATTTGATTACATAAACACTAATTAATAGCTAATGAGTTAATAACAGTTTATAAACTAGTATAATACTCGTGTACAATATGAGTGTTGAGTTAAGAAATATATGATAAAAATTATTTATGTCTAATACCAAACATAACTCTATAGCAAAAAAATATAAGAACAACATCACGAAGCATAAATTTTCGGCATGTCATTATCCGAAGCGTGAGAATCTGCTACTTATGATCAACACGTTTGACAGGATTGCTGAAAATTCATAAGTTGATATTAAATGACCTGATAAATTTATAAGTCTGTTCGAAACAATTTAATAGGATTGCTGAAAATTCATAAGTTATATAATAGAATTGGTTAAATGACCTGATAAATTTATAAGTCTGTTCGAAAAATTTAGTAGGTGTTTTTAAATGCTAAGCTTGGTTGATGGGTGCGGTGTCACTGCTGTATAAATCCATTGAAACAAAAAAATTATAATATTTTTTTTTTTGGTACAGGGACCTTCCGGTTTCCAGATCCACATGGGAACCGACTAATCCAGAATCGAGCCGGGTAGGACTACAAGGGCGGCAAAGCTCTCCCTCAAGAATTTATAATTTTTTTTTAATGCTAAGACCGTCTCCAACCGTACTGCAAATCTCAAAATTTGCAGTACAAATCTCTCCAACCGAACTGCATCTGGGATCTCATTTTGCGTCTGGCGTCTTCGCTCTCCTCTGATCGACGCAATTTTGCGTCCAAACGCAAAAAATGCGTTGTATCTTTTTTAATTTCAGTTAAGTCCTTTGCTTTTGTTTTTTATTCCAATTGACCCTAATCTCTTTAAAATTGATAAATTCAACATATTTTTAATTTTTGTTATTTAAATGTTAAGATATTATGATATGAAATAATGTGTTTAAGAAATACTATTT